GTTATCAAGATGTTACCACTTGCTTCATCTATTCCAATTTTTTGTTCTTTTCTTTGTTCATTCCCTTCCTTCCTTTCTTCCTTCTTTTCTTTTCCTTTTATTGCAGAAGTTTTTTTGTTTTGTTTTTTTTTGGTATTGCGGATGGAACTCAGGCCCTTGTGCTTGCAAAGCAGGTGGCGGAACCACAGAGCTAAATCCCTGGCCCCTATTGGAAAAGTATTTTAAAGTAAACTTCACATTTATGTATTTTACATCTAAAAAGTATTGCCAAGAAATTCTATATTTCTATTTTTGTGCATAAAAATAAAGCTATAGGCCAGCTGTGGTGGTGCATACCTGTAATCCCAGCACTCAGCACACTGAGGCAGGAGGATTGCTGAGTTTGAGGCCAACCTGAGCTACATGGTGAGTTTAAGGCCAGTCTGAAGTACATAGTGAGACCCTGACTCAAAAATAAATAAATAAATAGAGCTATTAGCACACCTAATAAAATTAACAATTCCTTGGCATAATATCCTATTCAGTCTATTGTCAAAATGCCTTCATTGTCTTTAAAATTACTTTCCCAGTTGCCTTATGATGTGCAGTAGTCCCTTGTCACCTCTTCCCCCTTTTTTGTATCAGTGATTTTTTCAAGAAACTAGATCACTGTTCTATAAAAAGTTATGTACGGTAGTCCATAGTTGTCTGTTTTCCTCCTTGTGATGCCTTTAAACTTGTGCCTTTATTCCTCTTATTTCCTGTAAACTGGAAGTTAATCTGAAGCTTGTTTAGATCCAGGTTCAACTTTGGAGACAGGAGTACTTTTAGTGATTTCAGTCAGAAGTATGGGTTATGACAGTCTGATGTTGTCATTGCAACATTCCACATCAACCTTTCACCTCACAATTTTAGCAGCCATCAATGTCTGTTGTCTGACATAAGTCTTTCACCATAGGTTGTACAATAATGTTTTTTTTTTATTTTTGCCATTCTCTCCAACTAACTAGTTGGTATAATACCATATATTCAAATTATTCTCAATTCCAACTATACCCCCTCTACTTTCCTCTCCCTGCAAGTAACCATCTTTGTTAATTCTTCCTTCTAGACTTCTTTTTGCAATTAGAGTTATTTCTGTGTATAGATCTAGATATGTATATATGTGAAGGTATATGTGTGTGTGCGTGTGTGTGTTCTTCTAGCATAAAAGTTATCTTACTAAATATGCTATTCCCTATCTTTCTGTTTTCACTAAAAGATGTCCTGGAAATCCTCCACATTACTGTCTAGAGCTTTTCCTGGAGAGGTTCTGAGTAGGGCAACAGCCAAAGCTAACTTTGGGTTTGGAAACCTTCATCTAGCTGCCTTATAGAAGACAGAATTTAAAAGGGCAAGTACCAAAGCAGGGGCTGGAGAGGCATAAAGGGGTGACAGCAAAAGGCTAGAGAGACATGGTGATGAGCCAGTTGGACCATGGTAATAAAGAAAACACTGAGGTTGATGGGGCCTGGACCTCTGAACAGAATTACTACAGCAGCACAGACACCAAGCAGTTCTTTATCTGATGTAAGGCATATTTTGTTTAGGATCTCTGTCACATGCACTGAACCTAACACACACACAGATTATTCAAGTTCTAACATGCTTTTATCATTCCAACTGAAAGTCAAGACAACCGGCTTTTTGTCTTGATTGTGTTGGTTATGTCAGCTTGAGCAAAGAAAAGGTAAGTGGGTATTTCAGGTAGAGGGAACCATATGAGTAAGACTTCCAAGGCTGTGAAATTTGGCTTTTATCTCATAAAACTAGCCCCGGAAAGCAGTAAAGCAAAAGGAATTTTCACAACTTTAAATGCTAGTAAAAGAAAGACAAATCAGGGAGCAGGAAATCAGCACAGAAACCCAGCCCTAGGCCTTGTTTCTACCCAACAGGCATTCAGTTGCTGATGACCCAAAATGACCTACTTCCTCAAAGATTTGCCATGGCTAACTCTTTGATCTCACTTCCTACTCTTTGCTCTGCTTTTTGCTCACTATACTTCAGCCACATTTGCTCCTCAAATGCATTACTCACGCTCCTGACTCAGGACCTTTGTACCTACTGTTTTCTCTGCCTACAATGACTCTTCCTCTAGATAGTCCCATGTCTTCCCTGACTGGCCTACCTAAAATTGCAGCCAACCCCTCCCCTGTCCACCTTGTTCTGATTTATTTTACTTTGTAAAATGCAGCACCACATGGCATGATATAATATTGCATATCTATTTATTGTTGCCTTCCCTTGCTAGAATGTAGGGTTGTGTCTAGCTCACCCTTGTAACCACAATACTTAATACACTGCATGAAACACAGTCAGCACACATTTTTTAACTGAATGAATGGAATATAAACTATCTTTTACTAAGCCCTTCTACTAGTATTTTTCTTCAAGATATCTTAGCTAGAGAAGATGAGAGGAATCAACGGTGGGGAGAGGAGAGTTAGGATGGAAAACCTGGCCCTGATCCTAAAAGCACAGGGGGAAGAGCTTGGAGAGGACCTAAGAGGCTTAGTTTAGCACCATTTGCAAGCTGAGAAACTCTCAGTTTCACTTTTGTGGGGACTTACATCTTTTGAAACTAATTGAACCTACTTTTTGTACAGCCCTTTTTTTTCTCTAAATTTATGGATGCTCTTTTAAGAAAACCACACTTTTTAACCCTTGGAAAAAAATAAAGAAAAATATAACCTCTAAGAGGGGAAGAATTTAATTAAAAAACACGAAAAGAAGCCGGGTGTGGTGACGCACGCCTGTAATCCCAGCACTCGGGGTGTGTGCGGGGGCGGGGGTGCCCCCCCCCCCGCAGCTGAGGCAGGAGGATCATTGCAAGTTCAAGGCCAGCCTCAGCTACATAGTGAATTCAAGGTCAGTCTGAACTGCGAACGAAACAAAACAAAACAGTCGGGCGTGGTGGTGCATGCCTATAATCTCAGCACTCTGGAGGTTGAGGCAGGAGGATCACAGTGATTTCGAGACCAGCCTAGGCTACACAGTGAGCTCCAGGTCAGTCTCAACTACATAGCGAGACCCTGTCTGAACCCCCGCAAAAAATAAATAAAATAAAATAAAAAATACAAAAAGTGCAAATGTCAAAGGAAAGTATTGATAAAGCAACCATATTAAAATTTAAAATGAAAAATCTCTGAAGACAATGAAAAGATAATCTACAAGGTAGGAGAAAAAGAATTCATTCAATAAATATTTCTGAGTACTCACTATGTGCCAAGCACTGTAAACAGTCCTTCAGATACATCAGTGTGTGTGTGTGTGTGTGTATGTGTGTGTGTGTGTGTACAACTGGTCCGTGAGTGCTGTTGTTTGAACCTAGAATGTCCCCCAAAGGCCCATATGTTAAAGGCTTGGTCTTCAGCGTCAGTGCTATTGGGAGGTGGTGGAACAAACTTTAGGAGGTGCAGCCTGTCCAAAGGAATCTGAGTAATTGGAAGTGTGCCCTTAAAGAGGACATTGGGACCCTGGCCCTGTCCTCTACCTCTCACTCTGCTTCTTGGCTGTCATGAGATTATTAGGCCTCTTCTAGTGTGTGTTTCTACCATGATGTACTGTGTCACCCCAGGCACAAAGAAATAGGGCCAAGCAATCATAAATTGAAACCTCTTTAATAGTGATCCAAAATAAACGTCAGGTATTTTGTTACAGTGACAGAAAGCCCTACGCACTGAGTTTGATGACAGCTTGACTTAATGATACTTCAAACTTGGAACCCTTACTTTAAATTTTTTTTTCAGTTTTTTTGGGGGGTACACGTTTGCAACACATAATATTTCCATTTCTCACGCAGTGGTTGGTACATGTACATAACACATCTTAATTCTTTGTTCGTCCTTTTTCCCTTCCCTTCCTTCCCCTCCCTCCACTTCCATCACTTGTCCCCTTCTCTTTTGCAAAAGATCTGTCTCCCTATTTACTATTATCTTCTTTTATTTTTGCTCTTTATTTATAGTTTGAGTTTCTTACACAGTGGCACCTCAGTTCATGAACAATTTTGTTTGCCAACAATTTTTGAAGCATTTGGCAAAATTTTGTTTTTGTTTGCAAGCTCCATCACGTGAGGAACATGACCACAACCATCTTTCATGCACAACCACAAACATGGCCATCTTTTCCACAATTGTGGAACAAATTAAGTTCACGAACCAAGGTACCTCTGTTTAAGAGAAACCGTGCAATATGTAATAAACTTGTGTATTTCACTTAACATTATAGTCTTAAGGCGCATCCATTTTTCTACAAATGACTTGAGTTTATCCTTCTTTATGGCAGCGTGTATGTCACATTTTCTTTATCCTTTCTGTATTGATGAACACATAAGCAGCTTCCAGATTCAGCTATTGTGAATTGTGCTGCTACAAACATGAGTAAATATATCACTATAATATGATGAGTTTAACTCTTTCAGGAAAACACCTAGAATGGAATAGCCGGGTCAAATGGAATTTCTACTTTTAGGGTTCTGAGAAATCTTCATATTGATTTCCATAACGGTTGGACTAGTTTACATTCCCATCAACAGTGTAGAAAGGTTTTTTGGCCCTGCAGCCTCTCCAGCATTTGTTATTATTTGATTTCTTGAAGGTGATCTTTTGCCAGGCTAGTGATGCTGAATATATTAAATACATTTACAATATTTTCTTTTTCTTTTCTATCAGTATGTTTTTGTGATATATAATACACTCATTTTGGAATATTAGTACATATTGCATCTTAATCCTTCATATATCCCGTTTCCTTCCTCTTCTTTCTTCCCATCGCCTCGATCTCTAGATCCCCTTCCCATCCCCACAAAGTCTATTTTCCTGTTCCCTATCATCTATCTTTTATTTTGCTAATTATCTACATGATGAATTTCTCCCATAAGAGAAATCATGTTGTGGTATTTAAGCTTCTGTGTCTGACTTATTTCATTTAACATTATGATCTCAAGGTGCATCCATTTTCCCACAAATGACTCAAATTTATCAATAAATATGAAATACTTCATACATCTGCAAGTCATCCTTGTGCAGGAGCCATGCTAATCTCTGTATCCTTCAAATTCTTAGTATATGTGCTGCTGAAGCAAGCACGGATATATACTTCCCTTTGGGTGTTTGGGTGTTGGTGGCCTCGCTGTCTCTGTCTAGGTGTTCTGTAAGTATTTCTGGCAGTGTTGGCTTAGTGGTCATGTATTTATTCAGAACTTCTTTGTCATGGAAAGTCTTTACTTCTCTGCCAAATTTGAAGGCTAATTTTGCAGTATATACAAGTCTAGGTTGGCAATTCTTTTCCTTATGGCTTGAAAATTTCACCAAGCTGTCTTGAGAAATCTGCTACTATTCTGATAAGCTTGCCTTTGTAGGTTACTTGCTGTTCTTCTGTAACAGCTTTTAGTATTCTCTATTTGTGTTCAATTTCTGGAATTGTGGTTATGATATGTTGTGGAAAGTTTCTTCTCTGACCAAGGCTATTTGAGGTTATACATGCTTTGTGTACTTGAACATTGAATACTTTCCCTAGATTTGGAAGTTTTTTCTGCTGTGGTTTTGGTAAATAAATTTTTTATACCCTTTGAGTTATCTTCTAATGTTTTGTTTTATTTTTAAACAGAGCCTGGCTATTTAGCTCAGGCTGGACTTGAACTCATTAGGTAGTCCAAGAACTGATGGCGATCCTCCTGCCTTGGCCTCCCAGCTGCTGAGATTACAGGCATGCACCACCACACCCAGCTAATTTTTCCTCCATTTCTATAATTCTGGGGATTTTCTTTTTGAGTCATCTAGCATTTGTAGGATTCAGTTTCCACGGTATCTTGTTGTTTTTAGGTTATCATTGAGTACATGATCTGGTACACCAGCATTGTCTTCAAGTTCTGACCCTGTCCCCTCACATTGGTCAAACCTGCTACATATAATTTCCATTGAATTTCTCATATCCAGGATTTCTGTTTCATTTGCTTTTGCAATTTCTAATTCTTTATCAAAATGGTCATTAACATTTTATATCATCTTGCTTAACTTCATCGGCTTATTATTTATTCCTCCTTTAAGCTCACTGAATATTTTATTAATTAAATTTTTATCTGTGTATTTATATCCTCTTTTTGCTAAATGTCTTATAAATTTTCTTATGTGTTTCCTCTTTTATCTCTTCAAACATTTTGACCATTTGCTTTTTGAGTTCTTTGCCTGTAACTTCCTTCACTTTAGTAAGATCAGCTTGGAGGAAATTACAGGTGTTTGGAGGCATCTTGCTGCTTTGGTTTCTTGTTTCTATTGTTTTTGTGTTGCACATTGAAGATCTGTTAAGGTAGAAAAATTCTGTCACTACTGTGGAAATCTCTATAGTTAGATTCTGCCTCTCTGTGATGTATCCTTGAGTTTGGTTATGTTTTGGTGTTTATACCTCTCTACAACCTACTCGACATAAGCAAGTCAGTCCCAGTCACTGTATTATAAGGAAGGAACAATTGATTATATCAGAATCTACAGAAACAATCATATATCAATCATAATTTAAACCTTGTTTTGACTATTTCATACTTTTTTTCTTTTCAATAATGCAGGAAGGCAATGGATTGGTGCTTATGACAAGTAGGCTGGGCGGTAGAGGATGAGGGAAGGATTAGGAAGAAGAAAAGAAAGAAAATTAGTTCAGCAAGAAGGGACAATGAAAACAGAGATAGCAATTGAAAGTAAGGAAAGAGATAAGATTTGGTGATATTATTTTTATATCTAAAATGGAAGGAGGGGTTGTTGAGAGATTATCTGCAGTGGCAGAGAAAAGAAAGAAGCAGGAAGGAAGTATGACTGGAGATTGAGGGAAGCTGTTAAAGAGGGTTGGAACCAATAATAAACTGATAAAAAGCTTGTTTTCGAATCCTGCATACACAATTTTTGGTGCAAGTTACTCTAATATGACCATGGAATATTCTTTTTAAGCTAAAGCACTAAATAATTCTTTTCCATTTTACATATACAAACATCCATATATAGATGATATAGATATCAGATGAAAATAGACCAGGAAAAGAAAGAGATAAAGGCGAAAATCATTGATAAAAGAAAATAATAAAAATGACACAGGCACAAAAAGTAGTGAGTTCTCTCTGGGTAGACGGAGCTGTTAGATTTCAGCTGTGTTCCCATGGGCATGACTAGCTGTGTGTTTTGTCTCCATCCTATGATCAGACACCTTTAATTGGTTTGCAGGGTCGGGGGAGGCAGAGCAGTACTGGTCAACCACTCTACCGATTTCTGGGGCAGCCCACTTCTTTCCTTGGTGACCCCTGCAGCTGTTTATGTCTGCTCCCTCCACACTACTGTGAGTGCACCCACACAGCTTTCTTGGATCCCCTCCTCCTCCCTGTCTCTGTGCCTTCTCCTAGCTTTTTGTCCATACATCTCATAGAATGTCCATATAGCACGGGAGTTCGGTGGTACCTGGAGTTGGAAGGGGTAGGCATTTGCATAAAACCCAATAATCTAGATGCCAATGGGAGGGTACTCATGTGGGCTTTGCTTTAGTGGCTAATGGAATGGATCCCACATGAGCACCAAGCTCTGTGGTGGCTCGGAAGGCATAGAGTTTATGGAGTTTGTGGAGGTTGGGACAGGGGGTGGGGATATGTCCACTATGGCATCATGCAAGTGACTCTTCTCCACCCCTGGATCACTCCAGTCACAATCGCCGCATGCTTCTGCCTGTTTCAGGGTCTCTATCCAGAACCACATCCCAGTTCCAAAGACTCATTGGTCCTAACTTAATTTCTGCCCTCTGATTGGCCCCCAATCTTCATTAGAGTCCTAATCTGAGGAGTCTTTCTTCTGTGCATATTTCTCCTCTGCCCAGTCTCCCAGTGGGAAGGGAACTGGGACAGGCAGGCACGGGGGTGGGTGGGTGGAGTGCACAGCTGGGCACCGATCACAGGCACCTAGGTGCAGGTCACCTGGGCTCAGATCACCACCACCTGAGCAGAGATAACTGCCACCAGCTGTTTCACCAGATTTCTTCCTACTTCTCTCAGCTTCTTCCTTCAGAAATTCAGTACTTTCCCAAAAGAGCCCATTTGCCAGAGCTGAGTGCCAGGGCTGAGAAAATACCCTGCTTTTCCCTCTAGACACTCCCGAGACTGAATATTGTCTGTTGGGTTCCTCCTTTAAATTGCCTTCCTGTGCCTGGGTTTTTTCTTTTCCTCCTGTTTCCCAGTAACTGCAGATCCTGGCAAGTGACCTCCAAGTATCTTGTGAGTGCTGCTAGCTCTAATTCCCAATCTTCCCTAGCCAATTTAACAATATTTTCAAGCTTATGATGGGTTTATCCAGATGCAACCCCATCAAAAGTCAAGGAGTATCTGTGTCAAATGCAGGCAACCTTATTCAATGTCTTATTGTTTAGGGAGACTTACATGCATATGTGATAAAATTACAAATAAAAGCAAGGCAATGATAGATAAACATATCAGTGTAGTGGTTACTTATGGTGGGGAGGACATGGGGAAATAAGATCAGGCAGAGGCACACAAGCACTTTGGAATATAATAGTAACATCTAGCTCTTAACCTGGGCAGTAGAACATGTTTTCA